GGGTCCCTGGTTAGTAAATCATTTAGCATGATTGTCGGTGACCGGCAACATTTACTAGCTGTGGATGAGGGAGGTTGGTGATCAAAAAGGGGCACTTGGAAGCTCAAGAAAGGGGGAAGGGGGCACTTTCAATTGTTCTCAGACACACTCAACCCCCTCTCCCCCTGCAAGTCCTTACCCATCCAAGGACGTTCTGCACCACGGGGTGGAGGCTATATTCTTGCAGCATGAAAAGATCTGAGCGCTGACACTCCATGGTAAAACGGTTCATCTCACTGTCGTACTCAACAGGGCAAATGAAGTACTGGATATGAGCGACGAGGTAAGAGAACTGCAGAGATACAGTGAGCAGGATATTATCAAGAAGGAGAGGTTGGATTCTTAAAATTACATCATATATGCCTATTTACATAACATTTAAATTGGCACTTATGTACAAAGTACCAACACACAGTCACGACCAAAAGCAAAGGATGTTATTTTTTATTAGCCAGTATCAAAACTTCATCCAAATGATGGACTGCACCTGTGCCAATGTCAAATGTGCATTATCATTCTGTGTGCCATTACTAAGTACAGTGTTGTTCTACTCACAATGAACCCAAAGACAAGCGTGCCAAAGAATCCTCCGATGAAACCCTCCCAGGTTTTCTTTGGAGAGAGCTGCAGCGTCACAAACAAACCATTATAGATTAATACCTGACATGGAACTGCAACTGCTCACTTTATACACAGTTCCTCTATGGCATTAGTCTAAAATACATTTTCTAGGTGTAGGTTGCCGTTGGCATAATTAATTACTTAATCACATTATTTTGAAAGAAGTAAATCATAAACTAAGATTGGCACGTTGATTAATATCCCTTTATTTTAGAAAGAATTCTTTTAGTTTAATGAATAAGTACAGTATTCATTTACAATAGCCAAGATTTAACCAAACTTAGCACCATTCAGACCAATAAATTTTCACTTACTCTCATGAAAAATATGCATTTTCAAAGCCTAATGCCAGTTACAATTGATTATACAACCTTAATCAAAGGTGTTCTTCCAAAGAAGAAACCAAACAGGTAAGCCATGATGTCATTGCAAATCACAATCGATGCTGGAATAAGAAACCTATGGAAGAATGTTACACTTTTTAAAAAAATATCCATTTGTTACACATTTCCACAGCATTCCAAAACAAACTGAAGGACTGTCACAAAGCAAATATTCTTTTGTTACTCATATGTATTATTTATCTATGTCCAATTTTTTTTTAGGTAATAAAGTGCTTTTTAAGTATCAAAGAATCAGGCAGACTGCTAGCACATTTTTTATATTAGACAAGTCAAATCAGACTATTTTATGTTTATGTGTAAGTGCTGAGTGTATGTCGCTCTTACCAGGCCAATCCTTCAAAAAGGTTCTGAATGACCAGATGGGACTGGGTTACCACAATGAGCAGTGTCACATGGGTCCAGGCAAACTGAAATGAGATGCAAAGCATAGGGCTTTCAACATGGTCTATGCAGTTCTCTGGTAATGAATATATTTTCAAATGATTCATTTCTGAAATATTGATAGACACAGAAAACCCTATGTGATTAAAGAGTTATGGGTGGCAGGCATGTGTAGTGGATAGCAATATTGCATCACCCTCCAGGACTGGGGGATAAAGTTCCATCTCAGTATGTAGATTTTGCATGTTTTCTCTGTCTGACATGAGTTTCCTCCCTTGCAAATCATGTGACTGTGTAAGCTACAATGGATTGGCATCCTATCCAGGGTGCTCCCCTACCCTGTATCTTATATCGCCCAGCCACAGGCTTTAAACCCTGTGATAGTGGTGAAGCTAGAATGGGGATCGCTGACAGATATTTGCAAATCCCAGTATGGATAAATAGTAAGGCATTTGGCACTTGTCCTCTGCCACCAAGAATGAAGCCGTACCCAAGCCATACTGAGAGGAGACGGGTGTTTTTCCCCATTGTATATTATGCGAGCCGTACCTGACCAGTACTATACTGATCTGGTTGTGTCACCACCATCTGATTGGTCAAAATTCATGGAGATGCCGATAATCTGTACTGATATGCATGGATTATTTGAAGCAAAAAAAGGGCATATTCTATATATCATTAATTATTAATAGTATCATACATCACAATGTATGATACTATTACTAACTTGGAGCCTGAAAACGGATTCATAATGTAAATTTACACAAGCTAATGCTAATTCATGTTAACATAACACTGCGATTCTCTCACACATGCTAACAAAAATGATCTTATAGTAAATTATGATGTACACGGTGGAAACAGTAAATAAAACTAGGTGAAGAGTAATATGGGCCATTCATTGACATGAATAGGCCCATAATAAACAGGTTTTATGTCACTGTCTCTCCAAACCCGGCAACGCCTTTACCAACCCTTCTGCAGTGGAAAACTGAAGCAAGATGGAACCGACCTGTAACTACTGTCTCTTTGCGGTACGGCTTGGGTATGGCCTGGTTCCTGTAAGCCGTGGAAAAGCGCCAATAAACTAGTAACTTATACAACACTACAGATGTGTAAATTGTCAGTTAAAAATTCCTGTGATTCTGCAAATTTGCTTTGTATTATTTGACTTCACTATTCTTTCCCCCTGACGAATGCAGGTGAATAATTATTGGCTTTACCACTCTTTTGACCGTAAGTAGCTTGTACTATGAAGCAAGCACATTAGCCTGAAAAGGTGCTGGCAGTTACATAGCATGTACGCATTGTAAGCTTGTATCTGGTTCAAAATCTGTCATTCACGCCCTTTCATGTCAGGAATGGGTGGTGGAACTGGCTCTGGTCCACACTGGCAGTTACATATCAGACTCATACCATGTAAAACTGCAGTCGGTAATGTTTCTTCACTAAACTCAGCACAAACATGCAGAAACCTGAAAAAAAGCAAATGATTTCCAGTTAATTGCACTTGAAAATAATAAAACCTGAACAACATCAGTGTTAGTAAACTGTATGTGAGCCGCTATAATTTTAACAATTCAACCTAACATAGTACAGGCATATGAAGAAAATCCATTCAAATCCTAATTATTTAACATTTTACTTATTTAGCAGATGTTTTTTTATCTTTTATATAAGTAACGTACATTTTTGAGAAAGCGGTCTTAGACAGTCCCTGAAGTAACTGTGTTCTGGGTGCCCAGTGAAGGAATCACATGCCAAACCTGGGATTTGAACCAGTTACGTTCTGGTCAGAGGAATAGCATCCTAACCTTTTTTTAAAACTATACAAACAGTATAAAGTTTTTTGAATTAAGTAAAGTAATTGAAGTACATACTTTAGAGCAGTGTTTCCCAATCCAGTCCTTGGGGACCCAAAGACAGTGCACATTTTTGCACCTCCAAGGCAATCAAGGAAATCAAATACCTGCTACAGGTGTGTTTGAAGCCAGGAGAGAACAAAAAAATGAGTACTGTCTGAGGGTCCAAGGACTGGTTTAGGAAACACTGTTTATAATGAGTTGTAAGCACCAAGATGGTGTGTATGGGTGGTCTTCATATTACAGTCTGCCCTGCAGACAGACTTTATGCTGAGTAGGTAAGTTATTAACCTTCAGATTGATAAGAAGTGCAGGGTTATGAATGAGCTGTTAATGCAGTGTGACAAATTCGCTCTGCACATACTAATTCCGCAGCCCTGTGGCCAATAGGTATGTAAATGTACATCCCCTGGAGTGACTCTTAGCAGTCTACTTAGTCTACAAAGACTTCTAGAAGTCTACTTAACCAACTAAATAACACAACCAATTTCCACAGCTATACTATTGTTTCATAAAACAAATCCCTATATTTTATTTCATTTAGTAGTTTTGCATTTATTGAACCATTATTTGCTTCATAAAAACAACAATTTATTTCTGCAGTGGACAAAATGACAGAAATAACAGTAACTACATTGCAATTACAAACACACCCACAAAATTTATCCATGTGAGGCTGACAGTCAATTAGCAGCATTTGTCAGCTATAAAAGAAGGTCTGGCAATAAAGAAATGTTAACTTTCAAAGCAACACAAGACAAAAGAGCTCCCAAGGGACAAAACGTTCCATGACTGAACTTGAGGTGTATCAGTCACAAAAGCTGCAAGATTAATGGAAAATTAATACTATGAGAGTATATGTTAAACACAGACGTTTTGCACTGGCAGAAAACATGCTAAACACTGCAAAGCCAAGGCCTCATAAATGACCACAGGACCCAGTATCAACAAGAACTTCACAAATCTGGCACAGGCAGAGCTGCCATCCTTAACATGCTTGTATCCAAAGCCAGTGCACAAACACACAGGTGTAAGGAGGACAAACCTTGGACACCTGAGCCATGGAAAAAAAAAAAAGTAATATCATCTGATCAATCATTTTCTCCTACTTCCATATGGCTTCATGTTTGCAGAAAGTTAAAGGATTCCTTCAACCATGTTGCCAAACTGTTAATCATGCTGGGGGATCCATAATGGCATGGACAGCCAACAGGATTGCATCTCATTATTGCTCTCTATGGTTGCATAATGGCTAGAGAATATGCCGATATGCAGGACCTGATGCATCCTATGTTCTAAAAGCCCTATATTTCCCCATACACAGAGCTGAACAAATTCAAGAGTGGTTTCACGGAGCACAGCATGCGAAGCAGATGTACTGTATACTTCCTCATCCTGCAAATAACTTGAGGCTTTCCTTCCTGAAGACGGCTTGTATGGCAGCATTCTAAGGACGGAAACTGTCATGAAAGCAAAGGATGGGCCCTAGTCCTTATTATACCATTGAGATTAATATCATAATATGACATTATGTTTGCCCTGCGATGGGCTGGCCCCCCATCCAGGGTTGTTCCCTGCCTCGTGCCCGTTGCTTCCGGGATAGGCTCCGGACCCCCCGCGACCCAGTAGGATAAGCGGGTTGGACTATGGATGGATGGATGGACATTATGTTATGCATTTCCATTATTGTCCATCTCTGTATGCATGTGCATTACTTGCAATCTTAAACGCATGTTTTAGCACTGTACATCATATACAGTATATTTGATTTGTTTGCACGGAAAAATTAAAGAAGATATATACATAAGAATACCGTTTTGTTAGGTTTAGTTTTTGAGCAAAAGCAGTACCTGCCTTACTGCAGGTGATCCACAGGTCATGTATGAGCACAGAGGCACAAACCGCTACCTACCGGCCAGATACATGGTGAAGGAGATGAAGCGATGGTATCGCACCAGGAATTGCAGCAGCTCCTTCCTCCTCACCAATACACCAAAATAGTCAGCTACTGTTTCACCATAGAAGAAGTAGTTCACACAGATCAGGAAATACCTGCAGTTTAAAACAGACCATCTCAGTTCTATTCACCAGCACTTCGCATATGCCGTAGTCAGAATGCACTTAGTGAAATTATTGGTGCCACACCAGTAAAGAACCTATCATTTGTCTGGCAGTATGTAAAAATAAAACACATAGAAGGCAGTGGTCAGCATAATCAATGCATCTGCCCTGTTATCTTACCATACAGACTTACCAGCATAGTGTCCTGAACCATGGCAGCTCATAGGAATGGTAAACTCTGTATCCAATGGTAATTATTTCCTGAAAGCACTTAATCTGAATGGTCATGACCTAAATTGAATGAAACATAAAAAACTAATAGTTTTCAGTGTAAAAGTAAAAACATATAAAACAAATTCATGCTGATTTTCTGACATGCAATTCTTATAGTTAAATGCATTCTGTGAGGTTCTTCCACTGTATCTTCATTTACTGTTCTTCTCAGAAGGCTGACTTTGTAACAACAGCTGAAGCATTCCCTGGCACTTACCAGTGGTATTAGCATGATGGGTCCAGCCCAGATCACTAAGCAGAACCCAGTGATCATTGTTAGAGACAAAATGACACGTATCCAGCAATTCTTCCATCTGCAAAATAATAACAATAAGAAAATCGGACAGATTTCTTCCCCTTTGATAATAAAAAGCTGTCTTCCACAGCAGTGATAATGCTGACCTGGAGGAGAGACCTTCCAAAGCTTTGCTGAGACATTCTGGAGTGTTGTCTGCTGATGCCGGGACCTCCGGCGTGTCAGCTTTGGTGTCTCCCTCCACTTCCACCTCTCCCTCACCTGAGAAGGCCAGTCTGTCCTCGCCATCTTTCTCCTGCACACAGAGTTAGCAAATTTAAAATTTGCTTGATCAGAATCTGGGATGAATGGACAGAGTGGAATATTTATGAAGAACTTAATGGTGGGAAACAAAGTTAACCAAGACTAATGCTGCACATAATAAGATTAAGATTTAAGTTAAGTTATATAATCATTACTATATCATATGAAAACTTCAGAACTGCAGAGCAAAATTAGAAAAGTTGTAACAAAAATAAAATAAACCACAATGCTGTATAAGGAAGGTGGATTTACAATGAAATATCCGTGGATTAAACTTCTCAGACAGCTACACTTTTTACGGTGGAGCCTCCTCAGCAAGCTGAGAAGATGCACCACCTTGACAGGATGTAATTCTTACATGAGATTTACAGTTACAGAATTATAGCCATAATTACAGGATTACAACGTACACTTCAGAGTCTTCTGTAATTTGCACTGAATATCCGCGTGAAAGACCTAATTAATTATAGGAAGTTCAGAGGCCTATATTTAGAAACTCCTTCATTGACTTGGACAGGCATCCCATCCAGGGTCTCCACCTGCTTTGTGCTCTGTGTTTGCTGGGTGCTGAAAATACATGCCTGGATGGAAGGATTGATTCATTTACTCAAGTAATAATACAGTACATTATTGTATAATAAATTATTTTACGTAATCAAAATTGACTAATATAGTGGAACGTTATTTGATGAAAGCAGCTTTGTGCAACTCATAATGTTATTAGAAAATGTTTCAAAATTTTGGAAAACCTGAAGTCACTTAATAAAAACAATGACCTAAAAGAAACTGACACTACCACCAAAAAACTAACATACTTTTATGTATGCATTACAAATGCATTATTGTTAAAAAAAAAAAAGGTTTTATTGATCTAATGACAATTTCAGCACTTTTGAAAGACTGTGTAAGGTCTAGCTCATCTTGGTGCTAAAATTTGGTTTGCAAAAATCAAAAGCACAACCTGACATGACGAAAGATGAGTCATCAGTGAAGCACATTGTGGAATGAAAATGTGTAAATAGTGCATTGGCCTTACTATGCTGCCCTCTCCTTTTAAAATTTTTAGATTGTACTACAAAAGTCAGATATCATCTCCAAGGTTAATACTGTACATGGGTTATACACATTTTAGGAGTGGTTTATAAAGTACCTGTCATTTGATATATAAATTCCAAGGAAAAAAAGCTGGACATTGTTCTGGTAGTTTAGCATGGCCATGGAGGCGTACAGAGAATGCTAGTTTTTAGATATGCGACTGAAATATGTAACGAACACTGGATATTTGGCACTGCAGGGAAATTTGTTGTCAGAAACAATGCCGACATTCCTCTTACTGTTCCATGTACTGTACTGATTAAATAAGGCTCCTCTTCAGTGAGGCGTTAATGTTTAAAATTAACACAGGTCAAAAAACCTTCTCTCCCTCGACAGTATCCAGCAGGGACATTAACGTAACTGGGAGTAAGCTGGTTGCGAATAGGGAAATGGGTGAGATTTAGGTGTAGACCCTTGGACATCGTGGAAGTCATTGTCCCTTTACTTTCAATGGGCAAAGGACACATTCGTTTTTGTTTTAAATGAAACATTTGTGCTATTTTGCTAGCTTAAATGAAAAACGACAATGAGAGGGAACTACTGGAATAAGAAGGGGAATTATTAACTGGGGGGTGGGGGGGTAGTATACTTACTCATGGACTAAAAGGACAATGCACACCCTGCTCTTCCTGCCTACTACAGTGTGCAGTCAACCTCACAGAACTCAATGCTCCAGGCTGGGTGATGGCCAGAGGACACATCTGATAAGCACACCTTGGGCAACAGGACGTTATAAAGAGCCCTGCCCAACCTTGTTTGGTGCTTAGGCCGTGCCAGACAATTATGTTAACAAAAGGCTCCTTGTTTTGACTGATAAATGTATTCAAGTAAAGTCGCACACTCTTGCACAACAGCTCTAAATATTGCATTGTTGAACCACTATCTACTCAAAGAGGACATGTTTTTACAAATAAAAATGAAAAAAACTCTATATGAAACTAGCCCATCCTGCTTTTATTTCCACCTATTTTCCTATTTTCAGAGACCAAGGTATAATATTTTCAGTTAATTATATGAATCAATAATCAAAAGCAAAGTCTGATTTGTGTTACATATGGAATAAGCAATAAGGAATGTCATTAAACTTTTGTCAGTTTCAAGTTCTCAGAGACAGTTTTTTTGTGGAAGGATACCAACGAATTTGTCCACATCTGTACATATTAAGCGACTTCTGATTTTCCAAAATTTTTAAACATTCTAAATTTTCTCAGTCATTATTAGTTAACACATAAGGCTGCTTTCACCACACCAGAGGGGGACCAATGTATTGGGAGGCGTATGTAGAGCAGTTGAGGAGTGTTTAAACTAGATAAGGAGGTTGTTTAGGAATTTAGGTGGGGGAAGACGGAAAACCCCAAATAATAATGAAATTGGGCACTGTAAAAGGCCTAACCTTTGCTGTCTGTACTTAAATACTAGGAGTAATAATGATAAAAGTACAGAAGCTATATGGGTAAAACTAGATGCACTTGACATGGTGGAATTGGTACAAGATTGCTTTTTTACTCAGTTTGTTAAAACCCACACCAGGGAAGAAACCATTCTCGATCTTGTTTTCTCTAATAACCAGGACAGGATTGGAAAATTTGAGGTTTTAGAACCACTTGACAGTAGTGATCATAACATGGTTACATTTGAGGTTAATTTTAATGTGTGAAGACCAAAACAAAAATATACAATGTAAGGAAGGCTAACTTAAATGGTTTGAGACTGAAAGTAGAAACTGTGAACTGGATGGGAATAACAAAACTGTTGAAGAGGCATGGGATTTTTTTGAAAGCACATTATTGAAAGTGCAAGAGGACTTCATACCTGTTTCCAGCAGAACTTAATCTAGGAAACTGCAACCAAGGTGGTTTATTACGGAAATTAAGAATAAAGTCAGGAGGAAAAGGGCTCTGTTCCACAAATGGAAAATAACTAGTGATGTTGGAATAAAGTAGGAGTCTACAAGTTGAGTTAAAAAATAATATATTAGACTCGCTAAGAGGAATGTCAAAAGGAAGAATGGAGACTAAGGATGACATTAAAAGTTTCTTCCAATATTTTAACTCCAAAAGAGCTCACTAATCTTCATGATAGTAAAAGCCTTGATAGTAAGGAAATTTAAATTGATATAGTTAATGAGCTTAATGATTGTTTTGCACGGGTATTCACTGTAGAGGACACGGGTAACATACCGAATTTTATTACTAATCCAGCATCGTCTATGACTAATATATGTATAGCTGAAGCTGATGTGCTACAAAGCCTAGCTAAGCTCAAAATAAATAAATCGCAGGGCCCTGATGACATCTTACCTATAGTTTATTTGCCGACCTTTAACTTTACCAATTCAGAAATCCTTAGCATGCTAATATAACTCCCATATTCAAAAAGGGGATAGAAGTAATCTATCAAACTATAGGCCAAATTAGTTTAACTTGGATAACTAGAAAAGTAATGGAAGCTATAATCCAAGTGAAAATGGTAGACTACCTGGATTCAAATAACATTCTGAGGGATAGCCAACATGGATTTAAGAGAGGTAGATTCTGTTTAACTAATTTACTTGAGTTCTTTGAGGAAGCTACAAGAGAAATTGATTTCCAGAAGGCTTTTGATGTTGTCCCCCACAAACGTCTCCTGCTTAAGCTTGAAGCAGCACGAATTTTAGGAATTGTAGCAGCTTGGACTGAAAACTGGAAGACAGGAAGCAGCAGGTAGTTCTTAGAGGCACAATGTCACAGTGGGGTTCTGCAGGGTTCAATTTTAGGACCACTGTTATTCCTAATTTACATTAATGATATTGACATCAAGGCGGATGGTGTAGCAGATACTGAACTAGCGGCACAGAGGCTACAGTGGGATCTGGATTTAATTAGTGACTGGGAGATAATTAGTGATACCTGGCAGATGAAATTTCATGGACAAATGTAAGGTAATCCATGCAGGGAGCAGAGACAAAGTACAGATATTTTATGGGTTCCACTGCAATAAAGGTAGCTGATTATGAGAAAGACTTTGGTATCTGTGTTGATGCTTCCATGTCTGACTCTCGCCAGTGTGGGGAAGCAATTAAAAAGGCCAATAGGATGTTGGGTTATATCTCTAGGTGTGTGGAGTTTAAATCAAGAGAGGTGACGCTAAGATTATACAATTCCTTGGTAAGACCCCACCTAGAATATTGTGTGCAGG